GTTTAGGTTGGGCTAGAGCTAAGGATCTAGAGAAGTATTCTTCCCAATTCAGAGACAGAAGAAACCTATCGAGTTTAGAGAGGGTGGGGCTGGTTGCGTGGTTGGACCAAGTAAACTTACAACCTTGGAGGGGGACATCGAAAAGCTCGTTTCGACTGACAAAATCCGAGAAGTCCCTCATGCCTTCGGAAATTGAATTAGAGGTGCTTCTCTCGTGGGACCATCGGGTGATGTTAAAGTCACCACCCGGGCACCAGATGGGATAAGGTAGAGATGCAACCATATCCAATTCTGACCAGAGCCTATGTCTAAGGGATGGAGAGTTAGGGCCACAGACCGCTGTGAATTTCCCATAACAAATTTACCTTGTTATGGGACTCTACATGAATAACTACGCACATGCATTGAGAATAACGGCCACTAAGATAACTATAACTGCAAAATCATAACTACGGACATAACTTCACTTAGAGAGAAAATAAGAGATATTTACAAGGCTTTCATGTGACTCCATCTTTCTAAAGTTTTGTATCAATGTTCAACACTCCCCCTTGATGCAAAATCTCTTTTCAATAATAATGTTAAGATTTTCATTTTCCTTTTTTAGCTCCAAAAGTGTAGCTTCAAGATTTTTGATGTGCTCCTTCATTTGAGAAATTTGTTCTTCTCTTGCAATCTTCATAGTTTCTTCATCATCATCTTCAATTTCAATATTTCCACTTCTTTTTTTTGGCAACTTCAACATATTGAAAAACACTTTGTTCAGCTTCTCTTTTTGTATCCATAGGAAATCTTAAAAATTTTCTTCCTCCAACTTCTATCTGACAAGCAAAAATAGGACTATGATCAGGTCCCTCCTTGATAGTTTTGTAAAATAGGTTGTTCAATCTTTTGCTTTTGGCCTACTTCATGTAACTTGCTTTTTGGGGTAGAATTTGCCATGTGTTCTTGATGTCTTTTCTACAAAAAAATTGCAACAATTAGTTTTCTTTCTATTTTTGTTTTCCAAAAACAGTTTTTCAATGCCTTCACATGACATCCTCATCACTTGGCATCCTCATGCAATCTTATGACATGACACACCAGGACTACGGGCCTATTCAAAAAATATTTTCCTATGCCTTCACTAGGCGCCCTTCTACCTTTTCATAGCATGATACACTAGGACTACTATCCTTATCTTTTTCAAAAAATAATTTTTGATGGTCATTTCATGACATGACACACTAGTACTATGATCCATTTTTTTCTTAAAAAAAACATTTTTTTCCTATGCTTTCACTAGGTATGGATTATCCATGAGATTACTTATGTCCCCCTTTCAAAAAAATTTTTTTTTTCTTCTTTTTTTGAGATCTCAATGTTGAAAACTTTTGCAAAACACCAACATCAAGAACTCAACCCCTTTCACTGCCCCTTTTTTTTGACATTTAAGAACTTTTTTTTCTTCTTTTTTATCATTGTAAAATCACTTGATATTATTTTGATCCCAACATTTTCTTTTAAAAAATGGCCATATGACTTCTCAAATTTTCCCTTTTGTTTTAAATATTCATTGGATAATGAAACCATTCGCTATGATACCAAATGTTGGTTTTTAAAACCCAAATTATTTTGAGTGATGTAGTGAGGTTGTATTTGTAATTTTGTGTGATAGGAAGTTATGGACCTACTAGGTGGTTAGTAGTTATTGCTGGAAATAAGTAGTTATTGTGGTAAGTGGGGAGCAATTGTAGTAAATATGGTTGTAAGAACCTCTATTTGAAGAGAGGTGCATTGTGGGAAAATTGGGTCACATAGGTGGTGATGAAAATGTCTTGACTCCCTTGGTGAAGATTGATTGTCTTTTTGAAGATGGATCCGGGTGGAAGGTCGAATGGTTTTAGTGTCGAGTAGGGAACTCAAACTCAATGCGATCTCTCTATTTCCCAATTTTTCTTAAAGATCAAGAATCTTTGTTTGTGGATCTCTCTTGTTGATCCAAAAGAATCTATTATGGAGGCACAAATGAAGCGGCTCATCATTTGTGGTTAAAGAGGGAATATATTCCCTATGTTACTTCTATTTAAGGTTAGACACGCAACCATCCTTGGTGGAGTTTGAGAATCTCCTTAGTGGCTTGTCAATGGCTGGATTTTCGCTTTCAGGTAGTGTTAGAGATGATCGCATCACACAAGAGCTAAGCATGGTCTCATTTCTAGACAATCACTTTAAGGGGGGGTATTAAAATTGTTAAGGTGTAGTTTTCTAGAAAATGGAGAGATTGAGGAAGATGTCGCGCATAGAATTTGAATTGGTTGGGTGAAGTGGAGATGTGCAACTGGAATTTTATGTAATTGCTGCATACCAATGAAGCTAAAGGGCAAGTTCTATAGGACAACTGTGAGATAAACTTTGCTCTATAGGGCAGAATGTTGGGCAGTAAAAAACAACATACCCGTAAAATGAGTATAGCGGAGATGGGGATGTTGAGATGGATGAGTGGCTGGACAAGAAGGGCTAGAATTTGAAATGAATACATTCAAAAAAATTTAAGTGGCACTAATAGGCGATGAGAGAGAGTAGACTTAGGTGGGTTGGCCATGTGCGACGTAAACCCAGTATAACACCTGTTTGGAGGTGCGAGTTAGTTCAAGTGGAAGACTCAAAAAGGCAAAGGGTAGGTCCTAAAGGATATGGTTGGAAGTAGTGAGATGAGAAATGAGGACTTATGGTGATCTTTAATAATACAGAATGACGAACTAGGATTCGTATAGCCGACTCCAGTTAGTTGGGAAAAGGTTTTACGTTGATGATATTAGTTTTTATTTGAGTGATGTAATGAGTTGTATTTGTAATTTTGTATAATAGGAAATTATGGAACTGCTAGGTGGTTAGTAGTTATTGCTGTAAATATTGTTGTAAGTGGGTAGTTACTATAATAAATATGGTTCTAAGAACCTCTATTTAAAGAGAGGTGTATTGTGGTAAAATTGGATTTCATGTGTCAAGTTTGTAATGCTTTTGTATACCCTATTTTTCATCATTGAATGAACAGTTTTTTCTTCTATCTCATCTTGATTGTTCTTCTTCTATCTCTTTGATTGTGAGTCTTGGGCTAATGTGACATTGTTACACTAATTGAGAAGCAGATTGTTCCGGTGTTTTGGCATCCGTCTTTCTTCACATTAATAAGCATTTCATGCAAGGGCAACTCATCCTAACACACTAAAATATATATCTATTTAATATATAAAAATATTCAAGTAATAAAAAATGCTTCATCAACTCTACATCTCTCTCTCAATGCAAGGACATGGACATGAACTCCACCTTACACCCGTTCTCTCTCTATGTATAACAACCTTCGTCTCTCTACTTATGACAATCATTAATAAGCATTTAATGCAAGGACAACTTATTCCAAGACACAAAAATACAAATACAATCATTTAATGTATAAATATGTGCATTAAATAAGCAATGCTCTAGTCAACTCCACCACTCTCTCTCCACATGTAACTCCTTCTTTTCTCTATGTTTATCTCTCTACATTTAAACAACTAAAATAAAAAAAATAAAACCACTTCTTTGCGGCTGCCTAGGTATCTGGCTCCCGCCTAAGCGGTGAGGACTCTCGGCTGCGTAGGCAATTGAATCTGCCTTTCACAGTATTGAATGAAAGTCATCAATCATTGGTCCATCCAAAAAAGGAGGTGTCAGCCACAAATAGGGCAACTGACATTTTGATAGGTAGCATGGTTTTCCTTTAATACTGTACTGGAATAGTATTTGTATGAATTCCCACAATAGTATTATTTTAGTTAATGTTTTGTTTATTGGGTAAAGAGAAAATAAACCCAAACGTGTGAAATCATCATCATCATCCGAGCCTTATCCCAACCATTTGGGATCAGCTACACAAATCTTGTTCCACCATTCTGCTCTATCAAGGGCCATACCCTCAGTCAGACCATAATTCACCATATCTCTTCCTACTAATTCTATTATGTCATTTTGGGCATTCTCCTTACCCTTTTAGAGCCTTCCACTTGAACAAAATCATCCCTCCTAACTGGTGTCGTATTAGGTCTATGTTGCATATGGCTAGTCCACCTGAGTTACTTTCCCTCATCTTGTCACCTATTGGAGCCATCCATAAGTTCCCTTGTGTGTATTCATTCTGAATTCTGTCCTTTCTTTTCTTGCCACTCATCCATTTCTACATCCTCATCTCAGCTACGCTTATCTTATGGATATATTGTCTCTTGACTGCGCAGCTTTTAGTCCCATAAAACATGGCTGGTCTTACAACCGTTCTATAAAACCCAAACTTGTGAAATAAAAATGGTAAAAACGGAAAAGGATGATAAACTTCAAAATAAAGGTGGCATTACGGCAAGACATGTCAGGTGTCAATATCTGGATAGGAACTGATGAGTTGAACTTGGTGTAGTAACATAGCTCTGCCTTCATTTCTGTCATTTGATACTGTGGCCTACTGTTGGTAGATTTTTAATAATGAAGATCATATGTATGGCTACAGTTTGTTTAGAATATCGTATGACTTCTAATGCTGGGGCTGAGATTGACTATGCAACTTTTGATTCATTGAGCAATGGATCTTCTGTTGAATTTATATAGGTGCACTTCATGGGGCCTAGTGTGCAGGCATCATAACCTCAATGAATTTTGTGTTTCTTAGTACTTGATTGAATAGATCTCCTTCTTGTACTAAATCTGTAGCTGTCTATTTCACTAGCTTTACTTGTGAGATTGGCTGGGTATGTGACTCAAAATGCTCGAACCTTGCTTTTTGTTTTTTTCTGATTAGTCAAACTTGCATTGACTTAAAGTTACTTTCACTAGGAGTTAAATATAACTTGCATGTTGAAATCATCTATTGGTGCATGTTTCTCATAGTGGTTAGAGGCATTAGTTTTGATAAATCATATTAGAAGCTACTATGAACCTTTTTAATATAAAGTTTAATTTCTATTTGTAATTATAAATTTGTTAAGGAATGGGTTGATGTAATGAAGAAGAAAAGGGCTGTCCATGAAGAGATCATTAACACGGTACACAAGCAGCGTATGTTTGTGCCAGAGGTGGTTATTTCTATCCTTTTTTGTGTTCCTCATTATCATTGTGTAGATACTGGACCATACAGCAAAATCGTACTTAATGGCTGATAACAAAGTATGTTCGAATAAACATGCCTTTTAGTAGGATTGGTTAAAGAAAAAAAACATTTTTTCTTTTATCAAGAAAAAGAAAAAAAGCTTTTTTTCTATGCTTTTTTTACAGCCTATTTATAAATTTACATGCATTGACTCAATCTATCTACATGTATGAGCAGTATTTGTCCTGTTTTCTTGGTTATTTCTTTGCAGCTAGCTTAAATGTAGCAGTCCAATTGGATCCTAATTACATGTTGCATGAAACATGTGAATAATTTGTTTGTGCTTGATGAAGTTTGTACTAGAGCTTTAGGAAAGACAGAGTTGGCTTATGTTATGGCCAAATTAGGGGTGTGTATACACACACACACACACATATATAAGGAAAAACTTTTGTCAGCCCAAGAGCGGATGCAATAATATAGACCCAATGGCCCATATTCAATTCAATTTGGGCCAATCGGCTGGCCACAAATCCAAATTATTTGAAATTTTGAACGTTTTCTGTTGAGTAATAGGTGCACATAAATTGAGCAAAACACCTCTGAAAGCTCAAGGAGTATTTTGGTTAATTTATAATGCTATCTTTTGGAATCTAATTCTTTTTAGAATTCTATATTCTATTATTCTCTCTGTATAGAACATATATCTGAATCTGATTCATATGTTAGAGATTTCATTTGAATGAATCCGCTGATTCAATGTATTATTCATTAAATACATGTATCTATAGAGTGAATCATTTAATTCACGAGGAACTGGATGAGAAAAAACTCTCATGTCCGGTTTTGCAGTAGAGATGGGATTAAAGCACTACCATCAACTATAACCCTAAAAGAACTAGATTCCGTAAACAACATAGAGGAAGAATGAAGGGAGTATCTTCTCAGGGCAATCATATTTGTTTCGATAGATAACGCCCTTCAGGCACTTGAACCCGCTTGGATCGCATCTAGACAAATTTTTTACTAGTTATTTTTTATATTTTTTATTAGCTGCTCCTTAACGAGAAGAGTGGACGATCCAAATTTCAGATTTGTAGAAAAAAGAGTAAAACTCAAATACGAAATGCAATTGTGGCTGTCAGATCCGCCTAAATTCATTCTGGGCCGTTGGGCATATACTATTGCACATCAGCCCTTGGGCATATAAAAGTTACTCCCATCTATATGTGTGTGTGTGTGTGTGCGCGCGGGTGCGCGTGCACGCACGCGTGTTGAGGATGGGCCTCGAACACCTGGACCTAGTGAAATTTATCATTTAACTTGTTGAGTATATTTTGGGTTGAGTTATACAATCAAGTCCAGAAAATGAGTATGTAGCTTCCTAGGGCTAAATGATAGTCTGTAGTTTCTTTTGGACCATGGGGGAAGCTTTTGAACTTCATGAGGGCGTCTGAAAATTCTTAATATTTTTAGAGTTTTTAAGAAACCATCTAGATTTTAGAATATTCTATTTGAGATGTTCACATTTGATGGCTAGATGAAGTTAGTTGACTTGTCTACATGTAACTTGATAAGTTCTTTACTTTCTAGACATGTAGTCAGTTTGATGACACATATGTCGTAATGCTAATTGCTTGGCATTGAAAGCTCGTACAGGATGTATTAGGTAACCTTAGGAGGGGGCTAGCATGTATAACGTTTAGATTTGTTAGAGTTAGAGTGTTCTCTTACAAGGCTAATGGTTGACTCAGCTTAACCAACTGGATTACCTCTATGATTGGCCTTTTATCATGCTCCACACTCATCTTCAACCTTTGGGGGAAGATGGCGGCATATCTGATCCTAAAGAGACTGAGAGTGGTATAAGCTGGTATTTGAATTATTTGACAGCAAGTCCATGAATTGCTTCAATCTCCAACATGAAAAGAAAATTTCTTCACTGCATGTTACTTCCTCCATAAGAAAGAGAAATAAAATCTGCAAAGGAAGAAGTTATTACGAGCTGTGAAGTGCTGAAATGAGCAAATTCCAGTTTGAAAGTGGGGTCGAAGTGTTTATTCCTTCAACACAAATGATATATGTGCATACAACATCTATAATAAATAATATTGCATTTGAAATATTTGAGCTGTGTCTTATTGAATATGAATTACTTGCATATAATCCAGATGTAAATTAATTCTGAAAGAACCACTATTGTAATGCATGGCAGTCTTTGTTTAAGTCCTTCTGTTTGTGGAATAACTATTGATTACCATTATCGAGATTGTTTGTTGTTTTGCTTATTGAAGTTTAAGCTTGATTTGTACATTTCATTGATTCTGAAATCTGAAATCTTGGGCTTTAGCGTACTAGTTCAGGCACTTCTTCTATTATTTGAGCAATGGGAGCATATTTGTTGGCCAAACCTGTACACCTATAACACTTGTCCACCCCCCACCCCCCCTCCCAAAAAAAAAAAAAAAAAAATAGTGAAGAGGATCTTTATTAACTTGATTTTTTCAGATCTTCTTTATTCATCCCTAAGATTATTTATTTAAAAATGAAAAATAAAAAAATTTGGAGCTTAACAAAGTGCTCCAAATAAAACCCTTTCAAAGATCGACTCTGAACCTTCCATTTGAGGGTCGATAGTACCAGGGTTATAAGTGCTTCAAATTTTATTTTATTTTTTTGAATTTTTAATAATGTAAAACGAAGATGATTTGAAAATATTCAGATTTAAAAAATCCCCTTAACCTATCTTGGGGCTAGTCCCTAATTATGTGGTCGGGCTAGACAAATAATCCTTTTGTTTTGTTTGCCAAATTGCTCGTTTTGAGCTTTTGCTTTATTCTACGAGTTCAATAATTCTATTAATCTACAATTTTATTTTGATTACTTTACCATTCAACTTTGGAGCTCCTGCAAAAACAAAACAAAAAAAAACATTTTTAGAGCTTTACATTATTCTCATGTTGATGATGTTGATGTTAAGTTTGTTGAAATATGTTTTAGATTAGACTACTATCATTTGAGCACTAGGACGTTTTCAAGTTGTTCTGTTCAAATATGTGCTGGCAAACTGATGCTTGTTAGTAGAGCTAGTTTGACTTTTCCATGACTTTTATTTGTCATCTTGGTTGGGTAACACCTTGATCAAGAGCATTCCTCAATATTGGCTAGTGATTAGTTTGATCTTCAATATTGGCTAGTCTTTGGCTATGAATTCTTGAGTAGCCATTAATCTGTATTAACATCAAATCTTGTTCTGGATTGTCAAAATGATACAGGATGCAAAATTGGCAGCAGTTGTTCAGAAAAAGAGGAAAAGAAAAGGTAGGGAACTATCTTCACCTTTTCTCTGTTCTCCTTTGTCAGCAATCCATACATGTGTGGGTATCGGTAATTGAGTGACATCTCTAAGCTGAAGTATTGGATATGGTATTCTGTAGTAGTCTGCATTCTTTGGAAGTTTCTAGTGTTGTTTGTGGTCTTACTTTCAAGTGATATGTCTTATGCATCTTTATCCTTTAAGAAACAGTATTTGTATCCCAACTTATTGGTGATTCTAGGTGTTCTCTAGACCCAAATGCTGCCATGCCCAAATTCCTTTAACTTGTATGCTGATTTTTGCTTGCTTCACATTGTTTATTGATATATGGAATGCTGGCAGAGGGTAAAATGAGCAATTTGCTGTGATATTGACATGGCATCACTCCATTAGTGAAGCTTGATGGGAAATTATGGAATATGTTATTCTGCATTATATTCGCCATATGGGTAGAGATCAATGTTGAAAAAGCGCTAGACTGCTGATCTTGGCAGGGTGCTTAGGCACCCACCCTGCCTCGATGCAGCCTTCTAGACGTGTAGTCCACTCTACAGAGGTTCAGATAACTGGGTCTGGTTTGAGGCCATTAAATTATGCTAGTCCCAATTTGTTCTTTATATTTGGATGCTGTACTTTAATGTTTACTAAGACACTTTCATTTACTGTACCATATTATAGAATTTTTTTTTTTTTGATGAATACGGTCTCTCTTATTGTAATTGAGAGCTCTGGAGCTTGGTTGTGATCCATCAATGCATGCGACTTTATGACTTGTCCAATTTTATCCAGATTGCCCTTGTTAGATTTTTCTTCTCATTAACTGACACATAATGAGACATGCTTATCTTTATTTAACCGTGTTCCTATTTGTTAGAATGACTGTCCTTGGTGTATAATGTTACTTCATCTCCACCATGTGTATTGAATGAGGAAGGTGGAGATGAACGTTTGGTTTCCTTGATGAAGAATGTCAGACTGCGTGGAGGAATGGTTCAACTTCTTTGCCTGCCCCATGATAACCATGGACAGGGAGCATGATTAATTTCTATGCATTACAGTTTGTATATTATATGTTCCCTTCTTTTTTTGTTTTGAGCTATTTTTGTTAAATCAGGCACGTTGAGCAAGGCCTATTGGTATTTATATCACATTAATATAGTCTACGCTTAGAGAAATTTGATGCAACTCTTATGACTAGAAGAAACCCTATGACTCTTGAATAAGTTCTGTGATGGTTCCATCTGTAGCAATTGAGTCTATAAATATAGACTCAGGCCGAGAACACCAAGTTTGCTTGTACATCTGCTTCACTCTTAGTCTCTAGTCTCTACCATGAGTGTCGTTGACCCATGCAAATCTTTGTTTGAGGGCTCTTGGCTTTTGTAACCTGATACTGTATGATATCTAGTTGTGTCCAGATTACGTCTAGGTACTATTTGTGCGGCTCCATTTTGCTGGAAATATTTTGCTGGAAATATTTGGCCACAGACTTTTATTTTTTCTGAAAACAATACTTTCGAGAACCACTTGACATGTATTCTTCTCCAGAATATGAATGAAGAGATGTAAACTTAAATTGTATATCAAACATATACAAAGAAGGAATTTTATCCAAAGACTGAAGGTTTTATTTTATAATGTATATCCATGCGTTTCTTGAAATTTTTTCCACGATGAACATATAATAGTGCTTGACCTTCAACATCAGAGTGCACAACTTCAGAAAACTGGTTGGATTTTAGGACTTCAAGTTACTGGAATGGATGACTTCTTACACAATACTGATTGTTTAGAATCCAGAATGTGAGATATTTCAGCAAATCCCACTGTACGGAGATGGAGAGCCAGTGGATATCAAGAAAAGCTTTATGGTTCTTTTTCATTGATTCAAGGTTCTCAAGACTGTCCAATAAACTTACAAATCAAAATTGAAGTGGCTTTTGAAAATTACTGGAATAATTTAAGAATATTTTTATTTAAGATATATGATGGATAAACCCCATCTGCACCGCACCCAAGGAGAGAAAAAATTATATGGAAGGTCAAATGACTTAAATGCCCTCTGTCATGAAACAATAGAGGTGCGCTGTTCTTTGGATATGTAAGTATTTATTTACAGGAATATGAAAATAATGATTAAACGCATCAATGCTTCTTCTCAAACTAACACTAAGTAATCATCCAAAATAGACCCGTGACAATCTGTCTGCTAAGAACTTATACTGAGTTGTAGTCATGCCTTATGTTTTCATATGTGGGATTGAGATTTTACAAGCTGTGAAATGGTGATGAATACAATGTCAGACCTCTGTGTTTTTCTCTATCATGAAACATGGGTTATATCGCGATGGACATGGCGCACATACCTTGTAGCTACACATGTAGGGCCAAATTACATGAGTGCCTCACTCTCAGAGAATACTAGAAATATGCTGTTATCTTTCCAGAATACAAGAACATTCTTATCTAGAGTGAATTAGTTGGTATAGATCTAACAAACCTACAGAATCTCACACCATCTGAGATCAAAACACAGAACACAGTCTTCTGGCGATGATCGACAAATAAAAGCTTATTTTCGTGAGAACTGAGAACTAGATTGTAGATGCTCACTATGCTGTTTGTTTGGTTTGTTCTTGTCAAACCCTTCTATAAGCAACAACCTCCCCTGTACTAGTGCTTTGCACATATAAAGTGTTTGGGGTGATTTTAAGCTGAAATGTGTGAAAAGCACAAGACAAACTCAAAAGTATTTCAAGAACCACTCTGCCAGGGTATATCTGTTAACAAAGCTTTATTTCATTTCTGGGGATTGTACAGTTTCAAAGTAGTATATGTGGATCCCTTGTTAATTACATTCACTGTCTCATACAATGGAGATGTAAAAAGCCTTTGTTTAATTAATCACATACGAATTCATCGATAAATGTAGAAGAGTTAGCAAGTGAGTCTTGCTGTAGCAGCTGCTTGCATGAACTTGTTCACCAAACACTCATGAATGTTTGGACGCCTGCTATCTTTGTTATTTTTTTTGGTTTTTTCTTGAGCTATTTATAATCGTCGAACACTTCAATTAGTGGCGCTCGATTGTGCCCGACAGTTGCGATGTAGTGCGTGTAGTGGTTCTCGTGTCTTATTTTGATGATGACATGTGGTTCTGCACGATTGTTTGTGGATTCTTGAGTCTTCTTCACTTTTTGAATGTGTATTGTGTCGTCTTTATCTCGGTACGTCATTCTAGAAGATTGTAGTGTCTGCCGTCAGGAGTGACTTGGATGAAAGGTTTTATCCTCTTCACAAGTTTAGAGTGTGTAATCTTCCGGAATGTCTTCACAAATCTTTGAACCTCTAGATTTTAGAAGGTGTGGGTAACGATCCAGGGGTATTTTATCAATAATAATCTTTGAGGATAGATAATGTATGTCTAAGGTTGTTTTCATATCCACCGGAGCATTGACAAAATGAGAGGTCGATTCACCAGAGTCTTGTAATTGGTGTAAATTCACCAAAGAGTCTCGTAATCGTGTAAATGATGCAAGGAAAGTAATAAACTAGAAAAATAAAAATGAAAATAAAGGTTTGAGAGATTATACCCTCTCTCTAAGTCTGCAAAGGAGTCCATCTCAAGATCTTTTCACCAGATCAAGCTCTTTCTTTACTCTCCAATCACTCTCTTTTCTGAATCAATAGTAATATACTTATAGGAGAAATAAACCTAAAACCTTACTTATTCCCTAAGAAACCCTAATGAAATCTTCACACTTCATCTTAAATAAAGAAATAAACTTCCACTTCTACCCCTTAAATAATCTCTATAACAAAAAAAAACACAAGAATAACCCTAAAGAAAATTAAAAACCCAAATATAACCCCAAATCAAAATTTTAATCTCCTAAAAAATAATAAAATAAGAATAACAAAAAAATTAATTGCATCATTCTCTCGAGGATGGGAGAATAGCGCTAGAAGGAACTGTTGGTATAAATGAGGGCGGAGGTCATAGATACATTCATAATATTGGGATGTCAGAAGTGAAAGAAGCTTTGGAAAGGATGAAGATAGGAAAGGCTTTAAGGCCAGATGGTATCCTGATAGAGGTTTGGAAGTGCATGGGAGAGATTGGTATTGACTGGTTGACAAAGTTGTTCAACAAGGTGCTGAGAACAAAGAAAATACCAGATGAATGGAGGAAAAGTATTGTGGTACCTATTTACAAGAACAAAGGAGACATACAGAATTGTGCACACTATCGAGGGATCAAGCTTATGAGCCATACTATGAAGCTCTGTGAGAGTGATTGAGCAACGATTAAGGCATAAAACGTGTGTATCTAAAAACCAATTTGATTATATACCAGGAAGGTCAACAACTGAGGCTATTTTCTTACTTAGGCAACTGGTTGAGAAGTTTAGGGTGAAGGGAAGAGAACTCCACTTGGTGTTTATCTAAAGAAAGCTTTTGACAGAGTACTTGGAGATTTGATTTGGGGGTGTTGGAAAAGAAAGGAGTCTCCAGACACTACATCGACTTGGTGAGAGAAATCTACAATGGAGTGCTAACTAGTGTGCAAACAATTAGTGGAGAGACGAGTGAGCTTTCAGTTACAATAGGTCTACATCAAGGGTTAGCATTGAGCCCGTACCTCTTTGTCTTAGTTATGGACGACTTAACTAGACTTCCTCAAGATGAGGTACCGTGCATGTTGTTCACAGATGACATAGTTTTAGTCAATTAGACCTGAAACGACATCAACACAAAGTTAGAACTTTGGAGGGATGCTCTAGAATCCAAAAGGTTTTAAAATTAGCCAGACTAAGACAAAGTATATGGAATGCAAGTTTAGTAATAATAGGAGTAGAGACGAGGAAGTAGTTAAGATTGACGGCCAGGAAGTACAAAAAAGACCGCTCTTTTGATATGGTGGGTCAATAATCCAGGAAAATGGAGAGATTGAGGAAGATGTCGCACATAGAATTAGAGCTGGGTGGGCGAAGTGGAGATGTGCAACTGGAGTTTTATGTGATCGCCGCGTACCAATGAAGTTGAATGGTTAGTTCTATAGGACAACTATGAGACAAGTTTTGCTTTATGAGGCGGAATGCTGGATGGACAAAAAGTAATATAGCTATAAAATGAGTATAGCGGAGATGAGTATATTAAGTGGATTAGTGGCAAGACAAGAAGGGATAGAATCCAAAATGAATCAATTCCGGAAAGTTTAGGTGTGACACCAATAGGCGATAAGATGAAATAGAGTAGACTTAGGTGGGCTAGCCATGTGTGGCATCGACCCAGTACAACACCTGTTAGGAGGTGCGGGTTAGTTCAAGTGGAAGGATTGAAAATGGCAAGATATATGGGGTATTATGGCCTCACTGAGGGTATGACCTTAAAGCAGAATGGCGGACTAGGAATCATGTAGCTGACCTCAATTAATTGGGAAAAAGCTATAATGCTAATGATGATTCTCCCAAGGTTGGGAGAAGCTCGACCTCGAGCTTATGGAATTAAATTTTTTTCCTTCAATATCTTCTCCACTTTGTTCCATTTGGAAATTTTCATCCTTTTCTTATCGAATTTTTTATTATTGATCTTAATTGTACAAAGTCGTGATATGCTTAGAAAATCAATTGTCATACCAAAATCTCTCGCACCTTCCACGACCTGTATTTCATACCTCTCAATCAACTCAACTTCGGAAACAAGCTGTAATGTGTGATTAATTCCTGAATTGGTGGTTGATTCTTGATCGTCTTACGTCTTCATATTCTTGTTCCTCCTGCTGCAATCTACTCTATAGATAGTGTAGATTATGTTGTATTACTTTACCAATGCATTCTATTAGGTCTTCTTTGAGTCTATCAAATGTTTGATTTAATTGCTCAAATATTTAATTAGCTTGAATCTCAAGGCTCTGATACAAACAATAGATGATCTAGTTATGGATCATATAGATCAAATATTTGAGCGATTGGATCATTTGAGAGACTCAAAGAAGATCTGATAAAACACATTGGAAAAGTAATACAAAAGAGTCTACAACAAAATCTATATAGTAGATTGCAGCAGGAGGAACGAGAATATAAAGAAGTAGAAGATCAAGAATCAACCACCAATTTAAGCATGGAGCACACATTACAGCTTGCTTCGGAAGTTGAGTTGATTGAGAGGCATGAAATACAAGTGGTGGAAGGTGCAAGAGATTTTGGCATCACAATTGATTTTCCAATTAATCACTTGGGGCACACTTTTTGTTTGGGATGTTCCCTCTTATATCCAATCTGTGTGAATCTGTGACGTACATAAGTGGACATCCTAGTGGGATTCAATTTTCATAGGTTACTGCTCTTCATTTTCTCTTGGAAAGGAGAGAAATAGGGTTGTTTGTACTACAGTAACAAAGTTAGTCAAAGGAGTTCATTCCTCAAGCGACTTATTATACAGCCTTCGTCATCTAATCTCATGGTTGTGTGCCATGTATCTTAACTGTGCTTGCCACTTATTATTGGCCCCCAATTCGACTCTTAGAACATGGTTCCACTATACATTCATCCTTTTAACACTAAGTTTTCTCTGCAATTAAAGGTGCAGTCCACTATGTTTACTTGCATCACTGTTTTATGGATAATGTCTGCATTGATGATATACTATGTAATGCATTAAGGTTAACTTTCTCAAAAAAAAAACTATTTAGCACATTCGCCGCTGCATAGTTGGTGTGTCATGGAGAATTTGTTCTGTTTTGGTATATCTGCTTACTCTAGATGGAGAAGTGATTTGGTTCAATTATACAAATTTGTTGCCTGTAGAAGTGCAGGTTATAGAGGTTTAATAATTTCATTCTTTTGCTCTCAAGGTGATGGTCCTAAAATGCATATGAAGAGCTTCAAGGATGAGGAGTACTACATAAGTTCCGTGCCAACAAATCAAGTAGGCCTGTCCTTTATGATTTTTCATGTTGACGCAAGATATGTGAAGAATTACTTAGTGATAAATCAGTAATATGCTTATTTTTTGGAAGCGATTATGTCTTTATAGCTTCCGGAAATAATTGAACATCAATCAACTTGGGATTATTCATGCTGGTTTGTTCTATTTTGGTTATCTATACCTTGGACATCGAAGAAAAGTTTCAGTATGATCTGCGACACATTTTCCCCTTCCATTGTGGAGGATGTGGTTTTTCGTGAGTTCTTCTTTGGCATAATGTCCTCAACCTCAGGGCTTGGCCTTCTGCTAAGATGCCTGTCCTGATTTCACTTTTTGTCTTTGCATGCTTACATGCAGACATTTTGACTATGTGATGCTATTCCGATAGTTAATGAATCCTATATTTCTTAACTACATTTAGACATCTGAGATTGATTGTCATTTTGTCCAAAGTATTACTCTTTTATTTTCTTATTATCTCATATATCCACTGTAGAGCTGCCATTTGATTTTCTGTGACCCAATTTGATGAGAAATTCCCTTGCACACTTTATTCCCTAGGTTGAGCTCCTCCCGCCCAGCCGGGGGGGGGGGGTTGGGTTTGTATTTGTTGGTTGCCATGGTGTAATGATCTGTTTAGTCTATGTTTCTTGCTACATATGAATGGCATTCTTGTGTTTCTTTGTTATTTTATATTGTAATTTACTTTCAAGGGCTTTATGGCCATTTGAGCACTTCATGTATATAAGGGCAATTTACTCTTGTTAAGTTTATCAGAATTTATTTTACATTGTCTTGACTCATTTGCCCTGACATACGCGTATTATACTTTTCCAGCATTTAGAGGGAGGATTGTCAGTAAAGGGGAATGAGGGATTTGCTGCAAACAGGTGAATAATATGTCAATTCCCCTGCTTGATAGTTGGATGACTGTTATTCTGTATTACTCGATCATTAGTAAATCAAGTCAATTCTGACTACCTTTACACTGTTTTGAGTTGATTCATTGGTACTACTCCACAGTATTCCAAAGTATTATTACCTACAATTTCCAAGTCGTGCCATTTTCTTGTGGCTTTACATTTCTAGCCATTCACTGAGACGGTTCTACTTTTAATTGGTATTGTTTTCTGTCCTTGTAGATCGAGGCATTATGAATTCAGATGTTATTCAATTATCAAAGGAAAAAGAAATTCAAATGCTATATTCTTCCATGAACAATATTTCTTTAAGTTAATGTCCTGTGCTTCGTTTATGAGCCTCTTCAATTCTTGAAGTCAATTCTTTGTGCTGTACTTATAAACCTCTCCCAAGATCACGGCTTTGCATTCTCATCTAATAGTGTGTGTTATGGAGTGCCTATTATAATACAACATCATTTTATTTCTTCCTAGTTCTTTCAAATTCTTAGCACTTGAATAAATTTCTTTTAAGGCACTTGATTGTTAAATTGGAACAACAGAAGAAACAGGTATTTCTTCGTGTTTATCCTTTTTGAATTGGTTGGATGGTTAAATAAGATTACTTCATATTGACTGATGCAATGTGTATAGGATTCAAGGATGCTTACTTACTAATTGGTGATACATGGACTCTGCTTGTTTACTAGATTGGATGCTGCAGTTCTTGATCTTGTTGCGGACGATAGTACTGGTTTGCAGAAGCAAAAGGCTGTGTTTCATTGGGATAAAGTAATTGCCAATCATCTTTCATTCCCTATGTAGGATTTCTTCCTCATGCAAACTTAAAACCGATTATTTTAAACTGTGATCCTTTCTTGGCAGAGGAGTAAGAAGTATATCAAGTTAAACAATGGTGAGCATGTCACAGCTTCTGGAAAGGTACCATTTTGAGAATTACATCACCACTGAGTATCTGGATTCATTTTATTTATTTATCTTTTTGATTTCAGATGGAGAATAACTGTGAAAAACACCAATGTGATTGATATCTGTTGCAGTAAACAGGCATTTCATTAGAAACTGCCTAGGTATCACATTGTAGTGTCATTTTTTGGGAGGAAACTACACCACTGGTTCCTGGCTCTTTTACTATAAAAAGGACACTATGCTAGTCTTGTTGTACAGTTATTTCCAATCATGCATTGGAGATCTCAGATGATATACCTGCAATTATGAACACACCCTATATCTGGAAACATGTAGAACCCTTGAGCTAACCTAATATTTTGATGCTTTAACTTATTATCATCTCATGTACTCATCATCAGAATGCTAAAATAAGAGTCAATTCAGGAGTCGAGGATGCAGAGTTCTTAGTTGCCGAAGTCTTGTTATTAGGTAGGATATCATCTTGGCAAATGGATCCTCCCTGTGGGGCAATTGTCTCGCCAGCTCTCTTCCTGTATAAGTTTCCTAATCGAGTCATTGGTATCAGCCTTGAGTGCATATGAAGCTCTCTTATTTTTAAATTTTATTAGAGGCATGAAAAAAGATTTGTGACATTCTACTCAGTAGAATAGACAAACTATATGGGAAATGTGAAAAGGCTCTATCACATGATGAATCTCTATATCATTGCATTGATACACGTAGCCTCATTTGTCCTGCAGGTTGATATATAAATTGCTCTTCCTGGTTGAGAACATTTATTTATTTGTTGAGTATGCAAGTATAGTTGCCTGAGAAAATTTTTTCAGAAGCATTTCCATTTAGTTGTCTTCCCTTATTTGTGTACATGCAAGCTTTTTTGGTATTTTGTTTCCTTTCCTTTCCTTTTTCTGATATTGTGTCCCTTCTTATATATTGATCAATCATTAATTATACAAAATAAACTGGCACGAACTTGTAACATAGCAAAAGTTCCCAATAACCATGTCCTTCCCTTGGTACACCCAGATTTCTTTTATTGTTGTGATCTTTTTTTTATCATCATTCTTATTTACTGATATATTAGATTTTAATGATTAATAACACATTAAGTGATGGAAGAAATAATACCAAATGGACTGGCACTAACTCATAATGTAGCTAAAGTTCCCATATCCATGTTCCTTCCTTATACACCCGAATTTGCTAGCATATGAGCCCCTGAGATAGCCTTCCATGGATGTGATTTGCATTGGACTTAGCTTGCTAGGAAGCACAAGACTTGAAAAAAAAATTGCCCAATTCAAAAGAATGGATCTTTCCATTCTGGCACCTATTAAACATTAAAGTTGTGTTAGAAAATAGGTTTTTGCGATAAGGATTCACTTATGGATGCTATGGTGGTAAAGGATCACAGTTTGCTAGTCTCTTTTGCAATTCAATTGGGAACACCACTTTTCGCAGATGTTTTAGAATAGAAGAAAAGAGTTCATGAGCTCTTGTCTTTCTTATTGTACTTTTTGCAATAGAGCATTATGGGAATGGTGTAAGAGCGGAAAATAATATCATTGACAACCGCAGCCTAAGCTAGTATTGTGTAGAAAGGATGTTTTTGAATGCTGTTATCCTTGTGCTCTCTCTCATGTTATCCATGTTGATGTACCACTGTTTTCTCTTTTTTGTAAATGTATACTTGTGTTTTTCCCCTTGGTAGTGCATCACTCATGATGAAACATTTCATCGTCTTTGTGTGGCACAAAATTTATTTATCGTTTGCCACATGCTATCCTCTTTGTTCCATATTACGTATCATCATCCTCTGAGCCATATCCCAACTATTTGGGGTCGGCTACATGAATCATATTCCGCTATTTTGCTATGTCAAGGGTCATACTCTCAATCAGTCCATAAGTCCCTTTGTTCCATATTTATAAGAATTATTTGTGCTTGAGGTATCTTGAGTATGTGAAAACGTTCTCAACGCTAATCATGGACTTGTGACTTGCTTGTGTTGCACATGAGTTTTGTCATTTTGCTCTGATTGGCACATTATTTATTTTCAAATGAAATGTAGATCAAAACAGAGGGAGGTGCAAAAGTAAAGGGTACTAAGACAGGAATATACAAAAAGTGGAAGGAACGCTCGCACATAAAGATCTCTGCTCATGGATCATCTGAAACTGATGCCCAAAATGGCGTTTCTGATAAAGGTATACTTTGATGCTAGGAGCTTTTCTTTCTTGTTTCATATCTGCTCATTTCTATTATGGGCTGTTTTACAGGATGTTATTTCAATGTCTTCTTCCCTCCAAGTTGTAAACTATGAGATTTTCATCTGTTTTTTTTTGTTTTCATGTTTTCTCTACTTTATGATGTGGTACTTCTGATAGTATTCTAGAAATGGTTCTGTTGGATGAAATTTATGGAAAGCTCGAGGCGGCGCCTGCGTCCTGGTGGGATGCCTAGGAAGCTTCCTCTAATTCTAATCAGTTCAGCATCAGAAAACATAGATATTGAAATTATTTTGATTTACTCCTATTGTTTAAACAGAATAAAAGTAAATTGCAGATATATAGATTCCCTTGTTGGATTTCTGTGGCCATTAAAGGGCCTCATCAGAGCTTGTATTCAAATATTTAATATAATAGAATATAAACTCAGTGGGAGGGTGGTCCTTTGTGGACCATGATTGGCAAATGCTATTTGCTGATACTCAAACTTGGCGTGATGTGTTAGGCCAATTGAGTTGCTTGGCTTGACGTGCTAGGCCATTTGAGTTGGAAAACTCCCCGTTACCTGGGCATGGAACAAAACCAATGAGGGTTTTATAGGTCATCACTTGATGAGGTCAGAGTTGCCCAAGTATGTGAGCCGATGGATTGTGTGACCCTTGTGTGTAATGGTTGGCCTCTAGAGACGATGGCCAAAGCCTCATCACTGAACCATCACACGACATGTATGAATGGTAGCCGTATCGAGAAAGCGAACACCATTGAGGGTGAAGTGTATACATGTGCGAGAGACTACCCCTCTGCACCATAGAGTTGTGGTTGCATTAGGTTTATGTGACCGTGGACTCGTCTCTAGGTGAGAACTTGTAGTTTATAAACTGGGATTGTTTCCTGTTGCTTATTGGTTGACTTTGGTAGCCTAATCATGAACGCCTGCAATGGTCTGCAGGTCATGGGAACTGCTGGGACATTTTGAGAAAGCAAATGTAGATTATAGTCCACAGTAGAAGTTGGAGTGCTTCATCGATATTATAATTCTTGGACCTTGTTGGATCTGATTCCCATCAAAATTATTTAGTTTTAATTATTTTGATGTTAAATGATTTTTAGATTGATTATTTGAATTTTTCTTTGTTTCTGGATAATTTATTTTTACAAAATGAATTTATAAATATAAGAGATTCAATTTTAATATTCAAAGAAAAATAAAGTTTATTTTCAATTAACAAAAAATCAATTTATTGATTTATAATTTTATAAATCAATTAACATATGGGGGCCCACTATGGGCTATGGGCCCACCATAAATAGCTACATGGGAGAATTGAGTGGGGCCCACATGGGGCCACCTAAGGTGGCACAGCCCACTGAAAGGAAACCTTTGGTTATTAAATATTGGCCAAGCCACCAAGGGTTATAAATCAAGTTGATATGATATAGAAAGTTTTGTGATTTAAGTACTTTGACTATTCAAAGATGGTATGGATAACAGATATTATTCACAAGATAAGAAAGTATGACATTATTTTCTATATTTCAATATTTGATGGGATTAGGTTTAGGAAGCTGAAGGATAAGGTTCTAGCATCTTCCTTTGTATCATGATGGCTGATCTAAGAATTGGATAGTTCGGATCTCTCACCTATAGGTCTCTTATGATCAATTGTCTAGATTCAATATGCATAAGGATGACAATCCTAAGGAAACCTAAACCCCTTGAAAGTCTATAAATAGGGGTCCCCTCTTGCTCAAATCTCTACATTTCTCTCTTCTCTCTCTACTCTCTCTCTTTATAAGGGGTGGCACGCCACCACCCTAGGGTTTCTTCTCTCTCCCATCTTGAGATCTTCTCTCTTATCTTTCTTAGCTAGATAGTAAGAGAAAGGGGGCACGCCCTACTAGGTTATCAAGAAGGGGGACACGCCCCACTCAAATATTCTAAGGCATTGATGCCTTAATCTATTTTGTTCCATGCTCTCATATTATTAAGGGTTGTAGCCTTAAGCTTTCCCATAGTTGGTAGATTCGAGATAGACCATTGATCCCGTGCACTGTTGGAGGAGGAGACCCAGTGTAGGGTGTACTTAGCCCAGTTGAAGTAATGTTTCGGCATCTTTACCTTGTGCTTTGTATACCTTGTGCTTTGTAATACAGGTGCCTTTTTTGTTCCTATAAGCACTGTGTTACTTTTGTTCATTAAATAAAGAGATTGTCATTAGTGCCAGCAAGTGAGAACCATTTGTATTTATTTCTTTATTTATTTCAAGTGAGTTTTATTGTATTTGGTCCTTTATAACTGTTCTAGTTGGTGAGAAAAAGAAATTTTTAAAATTATATACACCGTGCTAGATCACCTTGTCCAACTTTTATCCCGTTCTGCATGATCATTACTAGATCCAGAAGACGACATTTTGAGGAATCAAAATACAATGAGATTTCAACAAGAAAGTAAACCTTTTGTGCCCAACATCTATTGGAGTCTAGTATGCCTAAACGCCCCTCTTCTATCTTCTCTATTTCACAAATATTAAATCCAAAAAGTTCATATTCAGTTCGCCTTTTTGGGAAAATTTTGTAGATCTAAAAATTTGGAATTCCGGGATTGGTATGATTCTTAAGCTTAAAACTTTTGAGTGAGGGAAATGACCATTTTATCGTTGTTCTAAGGGAACATTTTGACATCAGTTGAAGCATGTCCAAGGTAGGCACATGGATTGAAACGCCAGACACATGTTGAGGCACCACCTAGGTGCGTATATCAAGTAAGGCATGTTTCCAAGACTTGTACGAGGATTTTCTCTGGCACGCTATGACGCACCACTTCAATCTATTCTCCTATATGCAGCAGTTAGAGGTTCTTCAATAGCATCTTATTACACTTGACTATTTTATAAATCAATGGGGTGATCCATCAATCCTGAGCCTTGACTTTATTAAGATATCAACAGCTGTCACCCAGGAAAAAGAAATGTGCGTGTTATGGATATGTATGTGTGTGTTAAGGGGGCGAAGAAAAAATAGTGTGTTTGCATTTTGGAAGGTCTAATCATTGGGGCAGATACATTTGAATTTGTATTGTGGTTAGGCAATTTTTTATGAGCCATTGTCATTCTGGTCTAGAGCGAATGCACTACGCAGTTTGTTGTTCGTGATTTTAGATTCTTGAAAGTGATTCTTATGTTGGATGCATCCTTTTTATAACTCTGAATGCTGCTCTGCTTTGCAACGATCTTTTTGGCGGCAGGTAACCAAATGCGTGGAAACAAGAGAGCTTTCAAAGGTAACAAGATGAAGCGTTCTATTCCGAATGCAAACGTGCCCTCTGAGCTTAAGGACATTGAACAAGTGAGGAAGCGAAGGCAGCAGAAGGCTGCAAGGATTTCTCACTACAACGACGACTCTGCTGGGGGAAAACAGAACATGAAATCTGGTGGCAGAGGTAAGTCTGCTAGGGGAAAACAGAATATGAAATCTGGTGGCAGAGGTAACTTCTCTAGGGGAAAACAGAACATGAAATCTGGTGGCAGAGGTAACTTCTCTGGTGGCAAAGGTAGAGGAAAGAAAAGATGAGGTTTAAGTGCATCTTCTTTTATTTCTCACATGGGGATTCTCCTAGAGATATGTTTCCCCAAAAAAACACTGGTGGGTTTAGGGTCAGAGAAAGGAATCCTTAAGGCAACCGCAGCACATGATTGAAATGGTGAAAGATTGTTCTTTTGATTTTTTTGTTTTGTTTTTTTGATATGGCAACGGTGGGAGTGGAGGGTATCCTTTCAGTTCTTCAAGTGGTAAGTCTTGCAATTTTGTACGAGTTACAATTTTTTTTCCTGATTGCCTGTGGACTAACAGGCAGGTAGATGAACTGGTTATCTATCAATTTATGTATTCTGTGAAGTTCTTTTGAATTAAATATTGTAATTTTGATTGAGATTTTTACTTGAAAGAGGACATATGTTTTTGGTCATGTTTTTGCATCAACTCTGTTGATACTAATTCTTCATGGTGTCAAGCCTGGTCTCAGAAATGGGAGCAGATCGACCGATTCTCTGTCAGATCCGGAACTGATGGGGGACCGTTACTAGTCCGAAATCAGGTGGTTTACCTTCTTTTTTCTTTACAAACCGAAATTTGGAAATTCATTTTCTATCATTTCTTCACCAAATCCTCTAAAATTTGTTCCAGATCGTTTCTCTCATTTATTTACAAAACTCCTTAAAAAGGTATTATAATCAAAACAGGCTTTTGGCAATATCAAGATAAAAAAGCTCTCAATTTTTTAGCGCAAAACCCTCAATCTGCCATTTCTTTGTTTTGACATGATATTCCTAACCAAAATTCATGAAATTTGTGCAAGAGTGCACATTGGAGCTCAAAAACAGATATGTAACAGTTTCTCCGATAAAAAAACCGTGTTCGAAGAGATGTAGGGTCAAAACTTTTGATTTTTTTTTTTAAAAAAAGAATTCTTGAATTTGGAAATGGGATTTTTTACAAAAAAAAACTATTCACCTTTTGTACATGGAGGTCCCACTCATTAGATGTGGTTTGGATGGTTTAGGTGAGGCATGAAGTCCAAGAATTTTTTTTTTGGAACTTTGTGTTTAGTCAATGACACTCTTACAACCATCCATTTTGAAATTCAACGGACAAGAATGATTGTGACACTCCATGTACCAAAGCTGGATCTCCTTTTTAAAAAGGGAAAAGTTTATATTGAGCCGAGGCTCTAAACAATCAACTTCGAGCCTACCTAAAAACTTTCCTTAGAAGATATTGTTTTGACGCCCAAATATCCTCAAATTCTTCATCTCGATATCAAGATGCATGGACATGATAAAAAAAATAGATTTCAAGTTTTAGAAGTAGTGTATTTTGTAATGCACTTTTGGACCGTCAAATTTCAAGATTTTCAAGTTTTCATAGATCTCTCGATCTACATTATTTTTTAAGCTTTAAACTTTATAAATAAAGATGAAAATATATTTTAAGGCTATGAAAAAGATTTTCAGTATCGAAACCATATTTCTTGATACTATTTGAAGGTAGGCTCTAATTTGATTGTTTAGAGCCTAGGCTCTATACAAACTGCACCCTTTTAAAAATGTATATATTCATTGATTCTATTTTTTTAGTTTTTGTGTTGTGGTGTTATCTTCTATTTAGGTATTGCATGATTTTAAGATAATATTTACGTAGATTTTCAAATTATTTTTCTCGTACATTATGTTTTTGAGAAATCTTTGGATGTTCTAAAAAATCATATTATTCATTTGCCTTTATGTTGGGTTCTTTCGTATTGTTGTTATACAGATGATTATCTTCAATCTACAACAGCCATTGAAAATAAGGGCAAGCTTTCTATGCTTCCCCTATAGCATAAAATTTCTGTACTTACCTCTATCCAACTGTCCATTTAAAATGGATGGCTTAGATGGCTTCAATCACAATGTCACCCTATATATATATATATATATATATATATATATATATATGAGTCTACTACTTCTTTCGTTACGTACTCGCTACTAACTAAACTAAATAAATAAAAACTAACTTAACTAAACTAAAATAAATAATAATAAGTACGTAC